AATGAACAGGTAAAATAGTCTCAAAATAATAATACAGGGTGAATAGTCAAATTTAAAAAAAAAAAAAAAAAAAAAAAAGCACCTTTTGAAGCACTGGAAAAATATTTTAAAGCACCTTTTTATGTAAAAAAAAAATTACTATTAAAGTATGCACACTTATATATTTTTTCTTAAATGTTTAAAGTTATATTTAAAGTTTTTCATCTATACACTACCCTACAATAATTGATGAGACACTTAAGGTATTGGTATTTTTTTAAATTTTTCAAAAAACACTCCAAGAGTTATTTTATAATTTCAAAGGTGTTTAGGTCATGTGATTTCTCATACATATCAATAAGGTTTAAAATTTTCAGAGGTTTGATGAACTGGCACAAAATTACCAGTGAAAAAAGTGTTTTTGAACAACTAATGTCAGAAAATATAGCAATAAACTTGTATCTTGTCTTATTCAACTTTGGTTACTATACGTAATGATTGCATAAAATTCCGTAAGTCTTTTTTGAATATTTATGGAGATACGGACATTTATATAAAAACTAATTTTGTTACATTAGGTTTTCCTGCTATAACTTTAAAAATATTCCATAAAATTTAAAAAAAAATTGGAGCAATTTTGAATTAATAACAAAATTATCATTTGAAAAAAGTTTGTTAAAAATTGAATTAGATATGAGCAGCAAAGCATCATTTTTTCACCAAATGGAAAAATTTTTAAAAATTATTCTAAAATAGAAAATAAAATAAAAAATTCTGGGGGGGGGGGTGGAATTTAAAAATACTTTTATAAAAAAATTTATATGATAACTAATGAGAAAATTTCAATTTGAATATCTTGTAATTTTAAAAAGTTTCAAGCAAAGAAAATAAAGCACTTTTTACAAGCACCCAATAAAAAAAACACCTTTAAGGGCTTTTAAGTAACTCCAAATCAAAAATAAGCACCTTTAAGCCCTTTTTAAAAATGCTACGTGTCCTGCAATAATAATGATTCATATATAATATATAAAATTTAAATATTATTAAATATAACAAGGGGATTAACTAAATAGTGACATTTTAAAACAAGTTGATGAGATGAAAATAAAACAGTAACATTAAAAAACCAGTTGCATCACAGCACATTAACACTTGGAAATTTTTTGGACTTCCAAAAATCTCCAGAAAGTATGCTTTAAATACGTGTAAGTCTTTCCAATAAAAATTCCAATTATTCCAAAAATTCCAATAAAAAAATTAAAAAAATAAATAAATAAAAAATTTAAAAAAAAAGTTTCCATTAAAATTTTTTAAATATACACATTTTAATTTCAGTTACAAACATATAATACTATGCATATTAAAGTTAATAATTCCAACAATATTATTGAAAAAATATTAAAAACTGTCAAAAAAATTACTGATGTTACATTTGTAACAGCTATTAATGACAGTGACACTATTCACATTTTTCAAACTACAACCACTTAACAAATTTAGTTTTACGTTTCTCACAAATTAGAATCACAGAACCTTATTTTTATAAATGTAAGATCCTTCTAGACAGAATTTTATTCTACACAAATTTCCGACTCAGGAAATTATGAAGAGGTTTTTCAAAAATTAAAAAAAACAGCAATTTTTCCTAAGGTCTGGATAGACTACTACATTTATTTGATATTTAAAAAAATCGGTAAAACAAGTCCTTATTTACGCAAGAAATTTTCACAATTTTAAAAAAATAGGTCCCTTCAAACGAAAACTGAAAAGAGCAAAAATAAAAGATATTCAAATATAATTTAAAACTAAGAAAAATTCTCATATTAAAGCTCTATGAAATCCTAGGTATGCTGACATCACACAAAAGAACAACAAAGTTAATCAGTATGTTTTAAGAAAGTGATTTTGGTAAAATTAATGTTAGTAATAATGTTATAATTCAAAACTGAAGATTTACAAGGTATTGCACAATTTGCAAATGAAAGTTCAAATTAAGCTCATTTGCATAACAGCCCATGCAGAGCCAAGACCTATTGTGCCCATCCCAATTTTCTTGATCTAGGGCTCCGAGGTGCAGGAGCAGATGTTCCAGTAGGGTGGTCAGCTAAACCCTGAATCCCCAGTGTTTAGCACCCACCCCAAACAAACATGCTTTGTACTCATTTTAACGAACCTACTGAACAGATGAAAAGCTGAATCAACTTTTGTCTGATCTGAGAATAGAACCCCAGACCTGTAATGCGAGAACGTGAAGCGTAATAACTCAGTCATCAGGTCTCACAAATTAAAAACAAAAATATTCTTCATAACTTTATAAGCAACTAACTCGTTCAATTATTATTTAAAATAAAATTTTTTAAAATATTTGATTTAAAAAACAATTTAATATAGGAATAAAGAAGAAAAAAACAAAACAAGTTTTCTTAAAATAAATCTTAGAAACATAATAAAGAAGGAATTTAACTTTTAATAAATGTTATTAACTTGAAACAAAATTGCTTCAAAAGTTAACATTCCAATAACTAAAATCAACAACATTTAATATATTCATTTAAACAGTGTGAATAATGGGAAAGTTTCATTCAATAAATGAAAGCATATTATGTTTTTAAATTTTAGTTAAAAAAAATGTATATTTGATTAGAGAATTAATTAATTACGATTTAAAATGAGTAACCAAATGAATTTGTAATTGATGTTCTTTTTTAAAGGAAAATTTGCAAACTGAGCACTGATATTCTCCATGTGTCCTGATGTGCACTTGCAAATTTTGTTTTGTTCCAAAGCCTTTTTTGCACATGGGGCACTTATATGGTCGTTCACCAGTATGTTTTTGAAAATGTCTCCTTATATTTGAACTTTGAGTGGTGGAATATGGACATTGGGTACAAGAGAATCTGTTTCCAAATTTTTGATGACTTACAGAAACAAAACCTGCATAATAATGAAACAATTTTAGTTAAATGAAATAATTATGTTCTCAAATAAAACATTTATAGCAATGATTATAACAATACATCAAAGAAAGTATGTTATTGTTTATCCATTCCATAAAAATTAGTTCTTCTGTAAAGATGTATTAAAAATTAAGGTTCATGAACAACAAGTCTATCGAATTTATGATTAATTCAGCATTTATTTCAATTACAAGAGAGACAAACTTTAAGATGATATTTTACTACTAATAATCTAAATCAGTGTTTGGGAACAGTTTAGCGGGGTACACGTTCTTATGCGAAATATATTGCAACACACGAAAATTTCAAAAATTTATATTTAAAAACAAAGCCAGCCATGAAAATTTACGATTACGTATTTCTCTATTGGCTATTTTTTGCAGAGTTATCAGTTAATAATTAGTGGTGTCAACAGCCAGTTGTGATTTTTAACTTTTGTGCAATTTTTTTACAGTAAAAAATACATCAATTTTAAAGTAGTGGTGAAAAAGCTTTAAGAAAAATTTAGAAAGGGTACACAAAAGTCATAAATTTGGGAAACACTGACCTAAATCAATAACTTTAAAATTCATGATAACTAAAAGTAAAAGAATTTAATATACCTCAATGCAAGATATAAAATTTAAATTAAAAATAGCTTGTTTTAAGAAAAATATGAAGTTTCTGACAAAAACTACAACAGTAGCATAATTTATTTTTATTTTATTTATTTGTATTCTTTTTCTTCTTCTTATGAATTGAATAGAACCAATTGATTTTGAGTATATTTGTTATACTGATATCAAAAACTAAACTCTTTTCTGTAGGATTTAATTTTGAAGAATTAACATAAAAAAAACTATGATATGAAGAAATATTTTATTGCAAAATTTACTGACCATGCTAATTACAGTAATATTTTAAATTTGTTTTTTAGGCATGAATTAAGTTTAAAAACTTGACAAAAAATTGTAAGGCAGCGTAATTGAATAAATTTTTAATAAAAATATAAGTAACAAAATAAAAATATAAAAGTAAAATAAAAATATAATAAAATATAGAAGTGATTTAAAAATGTATAAAAGTGGTGTAAAAATATAAAAATCCACATTTCCAAGTCTATGGCAAATACAATAAAAACAAGCTTATAACATTTAGTTTGCAAAGAAAACAAAAATATAAAAGTGAAATAAGAATAAAAATATAATAAAATATAAAAGTGATTTAAAAATATATAAAAGTGATTTAAAAATATATAAAAGTGATTTAAAAATATAAAAGTGATGTAACAGGAAAAAAATTCCACATTTCCAAGTCTATGACAAATACAATAAAAATCAGCTTATAACATTCAGTTTGCAAAGAAAACAAAAACATTTATAGACTTAAGCAAATACTATTCAGCTAAAAATACTTAAGACCAACTCCGGACAATTTAACACACACACGTACATATTAATTTGGTCAATCATTTGTCTGCAATTTAATGTACAGCCAATTTTAAAAATGCAATACTATCAATTTAACAATATTCTCTATTTGTCAATCTTACTATGCAGTAGTGTTTTAAATATATAATAATTAAATGCAAAGCATTTTTAATTTCCTAAGAAAAAAAGTGCTTTTAATAACCTAAATAATATAACCATTTATGCTTTTCAAAACTTAGCTATGTAGTATTAAAGAAAAGCATATGATACTTCTTTTCTATGGTCGCTTATGACAAACTACTGTATAAAACATATTTCATTATTTAGATCTTATAAAATAATACATAACTTTTCACATAAAAGGACAATATAACTGTACAATAACATAAGAATGAGCTATTTTATTTTTTAAAAAATACTCAATATAACACTGAACACAATTTTAAAAAAAAAAACATTAGAAGGAATAAATTATGTGCAATACAAATACAAAAAATCCTAAGATATTTTCTATACCGTCACCAGAAATTTCATTTACAAAATAATAAGCAATGATGTGGATCAGTAGAGAAGGAACTTATTTTGCAAGTATGTGTATGTTATTTTCATAGAGAGGCTCCGGGGCGGGGGGGGCAAACANTAGATACTTTTATTGATAAAAGTTCCTGAAATGAATATTTTTTTTTTTTTTTTTGAAGTATCCCCTGAAAGGTTATCGTTAGATGTGCAAAAAATAAATAAACAAAATAAATAATAATAAAAACGAAACAAACTCATTTGATACTTCATGACCAAATAAGGTATTTAAGTTATACTAATGGGAAGTTCTAAAAAAAGGCAAAAATAAATAAAAACAAAAAAATACTGAAACTCTTTTGATTGCGTAGTAAACTAGTAAGTTAGTTCTAAAAAGGTGAAATTACAATTTTATGTAATTTAATTGAAGTGGCAGTTTAAAATATATAATAAATAATAACTTTCAAAGCAAGTGATCAGATAATAATCAAAGAAACAACAATCTCAGATGATTTTTAAACAACATAATGCTTTGGACATGAAAATATATATATGCATCTATAAAACTATATGTTATTTAATATTATTTCTCCACTTGTATTTTGAATTATGTTAAATTAAGTTTTGAAAAAGTATTGAATTAAGTATTTAAAAAATGTTGAACACACAAATACAGACAAGCAATGACAGAGTTTGGGCTTTAAAACAAATTCAAACCACATTGTATGACAAGCTATAAAATAAATACTATTACTGCATACATCTAACTATAAAAAATATACTAAAGAAAATGAGATTGATTAAATGTATTTTAACGTTCATGCTTCACAGTAGTATGGTTAGTTAATGATTGTTTTGATGAAAATCCACGACTGCAAATGGAACAAAAGAAGCTGAGTTCACCAGAATGAACTTGCATATGCACTTTAAGATATGATCTCTGTTTATAACTTTTTTGACATATATTGCAGACATATGGTTTTTCTCCAATATGAATTTTTAAATGTCGAACCATATTACTCACACCACGAGTAAGGTAGAAACAATATTTACAATTGTAAATTTTGGGATCACTTTGAAGAGTAAGAGGCACACCTAAAGAATAAAATCAAAATTATTCTTAAAAAAAATCAGATATAATTAAAATAACATTTAAATAAAAACATACTGAAAAGTTTAAAAATAAATAAAAATTTTATGGGTTTTCTTGAGTAAAAATTCTAAGATGTCTTTTCATGCTACTCACTTCATAATGGTATTTACTATATTTATACAAACGTAAAATCTCAGGGATCACTTATAATCTGAATAAAAAACAGAATAAAATAAAAAAAAATAACAACTTAATAACTAAATAATAACTTAATAACTAAATAATAACTAAAATAATAACTTAAACTAAACTAAATAAAATCAAAATTATTCTTAAAAATTTTGCATCATATAAAATTAAAATATCCTTTAAAGAAAGAACATAATAAAAAGTTTAAAACTAAATAAATATTTTACGGGTTTCTTCAGGTATAAATTCTGGGATGTCTTTTCATTGCACAAACTTCATAATGGAGGATTGAGCTGGCTGGCCAACTATGATGATGATGAACTTTATAATGGTATCTACCATATTTATACAATGCTAAATTTGCGGATCACTTTTAATCCGAGTGAAAACAAACCTAAAGAATAAAATCAAAATTATTTAAAAAAATTTATATCATATATAGTTAAAATAACATTTAAAAAAAACGCAATAAAAAGTTTAAAAATGTATAAAAATATTGGGTTTTCTTCAGAAATAAATTCTCAGGTATTTTTTCATGTTACACTTTATTTTAGCATTGACCATATTTTCAAATGTAAACTTAGGAATCATTTTTATTCTGAGTTAAAAATATACCGAAAAAATTAAATCAAAATAATTGTTAAACATTTTATATTATATTCAACAAAAAACACTATTAAAGAAGCATAATAAAAAGTTTAAAAATTAGTCTTCATATAAATAACACAATAAAAGATCTTTGAATATCAATAGATTTTCAGATTATTAAGAACACCATACACAATTACAAAAGATTTAATTACAAAAGAATTTGATTTTTCTATTAATAAATATAATATATGAAATATTGAGACAAAAGCACAAACTTTTTACCATATATTTGATAATGCTGAAACCAATATTAGCAAAACAATTAGCTAGAGCAGTAATTTGAATATAAATGAAAATTACCTATAAAAACCAAGTATGTGCCATAATAACTGTTTTTGATTTTAGTTTATGGCATTTTTGTCAAACACAATTTGTACAAGCTCTGTTTCTTGAATAGAATTGATTAAGCTGTTTCAATTAGTATATTTTTGTCAAAAAGCTATAATTTATTAAAAAATTGACTAATATTTTTTAACATATTTTGAACTCAGAAAAAAAATTTATCGAGGCAATCTGCAGCACTATCTTAAAAAATTTGTCTGCAACTTCTGTGCAGTCAAGCAGAGATTACTATTGTAAAAATCAAGCTGAATCTAGCATGTTTGCAACACGATTTGCAAACATTAAATATAATAAAGTTAAACACAATATAAATTTTAAGTATAAATTTAAATTAAATTTTATGCAATTATTAAGCTTTTCCCATAAAAGAAAAAAAGATGTTGATACTAAGCCCAATAACGAAATCAAAAAGAAAAGATGAACAAGAAAATTCTTTTCTTTTTTCATTTTGATTTTAATTTTTACTTATTTTCAGCCTTTCCACTAAAATTTTAAAAAAAAAATGAGAAGGAAAATAATCAGCAGATGCTGCGACAATCTACAGCACCCACTGCCATGCTAGAAAATCTCTATTACCAGACGAACAAGTTGTTAAATTTTACATTATAGGAAATATTGGGGTCAATTTCCCACAAAATAAATGACTAACAAAGATTATCAATTATTTAGTTTACCTTTTTTGAAAAAAAATTAAGCACAGATATTGTCTTTTAGCATGCCTTTAATTATTTTTATAAACTACAAAATTTTCTGGTATTTTGATAATGAAATAGAATTACTTTTAAACATACACATGTAATAGTATTAGAAGGCAATTTAAAAACTGTTGAAGCTGAAATTTAGTCATTACATAATATTACACATTTTGATACATTATTACAGTGTTGAATGAGTGCTCTTTCTAAAAGGAAACATCCTGCCCTTTTTTATTACTAGGAAGAATTCTGTTTTTCAAATTTCATCTTCTTTTTATCACCCAATAAAAAAATTTTATTAGCTCATTTGAACAAAAATGACAATTTTGCATTAATATAAAAATAAAATACTTACAAAGGAAATGATTGTAACAAAAAAAGGTCAATTAAATTAAAGCTCATTCTAAAGCTGATATTAGTTTATAATATCTTTAGATAATAACATCAACAATAATGTTCAATGAATTTCTAGCAAACAATTATTTTCTTTAAAACAACTTTTTGCTCATTAAACACAAATAGAAAAAATAACATGATATTGAAAGCATAATTTTTGAAAAAGCTTGACAGTCAGTAAATTAAAACCAAAACAATGAGCTAGAACAGACAAGAAGAATAAATATCATTTAAACAGAACAATAATGAACACTATAATTTTTTCCTTCAAATCAACAAATTGAAAAGCATTTGAAAAATGGGTGATCCATGATTGACAGCATAGATTGTGATCATTCTCCCTTTAATTTTAGATTCTCCTTAATTTTAAAATAATTTTTTAGATTTTATACGATGCAAAATACCATTTCTCTTGTTATTCATTTACGTCTCTTGTTATTCATTTACAAAAATAAAATAATTTACCAAGTTATTCTTCATCTAAAAGTGCAATTAAATGCTTTCCTTATTCAGGAAACTAGATTCAAAAACATTACTCAATTCTCCTTCACTTTCATATCTTTAAGCCACCCAGGGTAGTACAAATTATACCCTTCAAGCATACCCTCCAACTGCTACGGAATTTCCGTAGTTTCAGAAATCTTCTTTTCTGACGGTAGCAAAATTAATGTCTTAATATTTAAAAAAAAATAATTTTAGCGTAACTTGTCCACTATTACTTATAAAAGTGCAGGCCATATGGCTAGATTCTTAAGTTCTGATAAAAGTTTTATGAGAGATCCATTTGCTTTAAAAATTTCTACTTCGGCTCGCTACCACTAGAAAGAATTATTTTCAAAATCCTCATAAGCTGGAGGGTATGCTTCAAGTAACAAACTATACTCTTCTGTGATTTTATTTACATATTTATTTTTGCGGGTTGCTGTCTGTTAATTGCCAAGACTTGGTGACTATTCTGCTGCAGATTATGATACATAAATCTTTCCCTAAATGGCAAATGAGGTTTTTAAACTAAGAAATGATTGTTAAAAATTATATTATAGGATACAAAGATTGAAATTAAATATTAAAGAAAAAAGAGTTAGCTTTATCATTTGAGCTCAAAGAGAAATCAAGCACTAGGCTTCATAATAATGGATAATAAACACAGTAATTAGAATTGAAAAAATATTAAAAAAGTTAAAAATAAATGACTTCTGTTAAGTAGGACATAAATTAGGAAATTTGAGATTACTGCGAAAAACTCTGCAATAAAGTAATTAGAATACAGCAAATTGGGAAAATTCTCATTACTTTTTGTATAAGCTTTGTTGCTGCATTAAAATAAACAAAATTTTACAGATTTTAGATAGATAGAAAGATGAAAAACAACGAAGTGTTTTAAAACTGAAGCTGTTTTAATTTAAACTGTTCAAAATTTAAAACCAATGATGAATCAAAATACAAATTTTATACATAATTCTTCACGTACGTAAGATTAACCTATAACATTCTAATAACAACATTCTTCGGTTATTCAACAATTCATTTTTTTAAAGTTTATGGAAATTTTTTTCTCCTTGTTTACTTTGTACTTTATTCCTGTTAATAAGCCTTTGGTTGCTTATTTCTACTCCTTACTTCGATGGCTGCCTCTCTTAATCTTTATAATGAACACCTCAGTCAATGACGTAGTTACGCTTAAAAGAATTTTTAAATTTATTCTCACTGCATCTGCTGAGTCCAAAAAGACCATTCTCACTGTATGTCCAAAAAGTTCAGGATGTATGTTCAGGAGTAAATATATTTCATTATGCCCCACACTGGTTGGTCACGACACACAACTTACAAATTTTAAACTTTAGACAAAAAAAATGAAACATTTTTTTAAAAAAAGGAGAAAAAAATCCTACTTGTATGATATCACAACTTGGAGATCAATATGCAGAAATGCAAATGCTTACATTGCTTATTTTTTTCTAAGAAGTTTTTTAGGACTCCTAATATTTAACGGTGTTTTGCTTCCAGGAAGGTATATTCATTTACGTAGTAGTAGAGCTGCACAATGGATTATTGGTGATGGTCGCCAAAACATTCCTGAGGATGATCTGGAGACATACATACGTCACATCCCCATTTACAGGGAGAGCATAATCTCACCCAATCCATCCGCAGATCATAATTTAGAGCAGACCTGAACTAGAATACGATCAATCTGCGTCCTGCGATCCAGTACTCCAGAGGTATGAATTTGTTATGGTAACTTGGAGGACTTTGTATCCCAACAGATTTAGTGAGTACCAGTCACCATTTTGTACACGAAAAGTCTTCGGCCGGCGGGGATCTAACTCACGATCTCTCGGACATTGGACCTCGTTTCCAAAATAGACTAAACAGAAATTTTGTTTGATTTAATTGTTATGCAATAAAAATGACAGGAAAACGTGCCTTGCATTATCTTCGAGTGTTTTAACCTTTGTATGCTAGAATATAGTGGATGACAGAACCAATTTCCATGCATTTATTTAGATGCAGGATTGAATCTATATTGAATTTTTTAAATTTTGTGTTCAAGAAAAATATCTAGTTTTAAGCTTTGTTCAAGTTATTTATTGTCACTTGTTTACTATACACTTATTTTTATATGATATAACATAGTCTGATAATGCACATTTTACAGTAGTTTGAGAGAGAGCAGGTAGCACAAAATATTAAGCAATTTTGAGTTAAAAAGAACCAGCAATGGCAAATGCTATCATGTAGTTCTAATTATTAAGTTCACACTCTCTAATATTTAGGTAAGAGCTACGCAACCTACTCATAAATTAATTAATCAAAAGTTTACTGAAATTTATATTGGTCAGTAGTAGTAGTTGAAAAACAGAAGAAAATTGATCTAACGCCCAACTTATTTTGAAATGAGGACAAATTTCTATCATACCTGGAAGCTGGTGGAACTTTTTTAGTCCTAGAGGTGTATTCTTTTGCAATCCCCCACATTTCACCCCAAAATGCTCATGTCGTTTCAAATAAATATATTTTTTCAAATCTATGGGCAACAAGTGTCTTTAACTAAATACGTTTACCTAGAAACAAAATTATTCTTTTTGAAGAAAATTTCTTTATATCATTTTATTTAATGTTTACTTTTTAAAACGATCTGTAAATTTTATGCAACAGCATCAAACACAAACTGCTGTTTTGGAAGCACTCTGCACACCATCTGCAATATGAAAAAAAAAAAAACATCTATATATGTAGCATGTTATATAAGTTTTAGGCAACTTTTAAAAATAGAATTCATACTACAAACTTTAGTTACCTTTAGAAATAGAGTAGGCTGACTATGTATATATATTCAAAATAAAAGTCCATAAAACATTGTTTTTCGATTCTTATTAAAATTTGCATCACTTTAACTTACTTTATAAAAATTTTATTAAATACTATAAATTTTTAAATATGAATTAAAATACATATGCGTATGATTACAATGCTTGAATCAGAACAGGGGTCCTCAGTTTAGCTAAAGATGCAGAGGAATTTTTCAAACATAAAAAAAAAAAAAAAAGAATAAGAGATGTTTGTCATATTATAAAACAAAAATCTATATCATATCTCAAAATTCATTTCTTATTTCTCTTAATAATAATATTATTATTATTCTCAACTTCAGCCTTCGGTTATTTCTTTTTTTAAAATACAAATCATCTAAATAATACAAATTATAAGACAAATGTAAAAAATAAAATACTTTTTATAATGCAAATTATCTATAGTTAAAAATAGACCTATTTTTTAGATATAGAATACTTAAAGAACACTTTTACTCTTTTCTACACTACCAATCAAGAAATGAAGGAATAGGGTGATGTTTCATCAGTATTTGAAGAATATGACAATTAATTAATACATTAAACAATAAAAATTCAGAATATAAATAGAGAATAAATTTCTTTATTTAAATTTTTTTATATAACTTTACAAAAATATTCATTAGAAAGTACACAGAAAATATTTTAAATCTTTATTAACAGTGTATGATTTTATAAAAGACAAATAACTTAAATCAGAAGTTCTACACCTTTCAAGTTTAACAAAATAGGGGGTACAACAATAAAATATGAAAATAAACCATATGATTAAATTTATTTTGAGTTGTAAAAATCATATCTTTTAGCAAAGGAACCCTTTCAGCTCAAAATGTAGAAATTTCCTCATATAACAGAAATTCTAATGATAAAATATCCATAATTTTTTAAGAGCTTATAATGATATTCAAAACACATTAGAAGAAAAAAAATCCTATTACTATACGCATGCATTAGTTTAAAATGAAGAGCCCTAAAATTTTTTTTTTCAAGATCGTGATGTAATTTTACTATTAAATATTCATTGTATATTTGACTCATTTATATAATCCTCTAAAATATGTTTAAGATTCCTACGTTTTCTTTTTGGTCATTACTATAATTTTTAAAACAAAATTATAAAAAAACAAGCTAATAAAAAAAAAGCCCGACAGATCTCTATGTAAAGAACATTAACTTTTAAAAAAAAAAAAAAAAACTTTTTAGCCTCATCCAAGAAACAAAAATTTATTTTTCTCACAAATTTTTTTTTTTTATTTTTTAAAAAAAGTTGTTTTTTATCCAAAAATAAATTAAAAAACATTAATTAAAAAAAATTTATTGAATAGCAGTAATAAAATTATTATACAGCTTCGCTATTTCCTAATTATAACATAATTAGGCAGTAAGATAATAATTCTAAAGATAACATAAGAAATTATTTGAACGCATTTTTAGCATATTTTCAATTTAGAAAAAGCTTTTATCTCAACTTAATATATATTAAAAATAAAATATATATAAAATAGTTAGGTATGTAAAGATTGAATAAAAGAAAAAAAAATAAATAAAAAATAGTCAAAGGTTTTCCTTTTAAGCATGCAAAATTATAAAATTGTGCTTTGAATGAAATGAGGACACAAAACAGTCACATTAAAAATATAATGATATATAACAGTTATAAAATCCAAAACAACTTTTTGAGAACAAAAACATGTTTATAAATGAACAAAAACAAAAAAAAGCACATTGTGAATATGCCTTTAGAATTGCACAATATCCTAACACCAAATAATAATTTGAAAATAGTAATAAAATAGATAAGAATAGTCGAAAACTTAAACATTATCTGTAGATATTAGATAATTACAGATCTATAAAAACTTAGAAACAAGTTTAGAAGCTCTATCTTTCTAATATTTGGCAAAATTTATCACAAAAAAAAGAAGAAAAAAAAGCTTTACACAATTATAATGATATGATAAAAAAAATTGACAAGGTCAGTCTCTAAGCTCCAGAAACCAATATGGCTAAAGTTCTAAAATAAAATAAATAAATTGAATAATTAACAACATTGAAATTGGCTCATAATTGAAACGCCACAGTGAGCCAAGCTTTTTTTTTTTCAAAACAAATATAACAAATTAGTTGTAAGAGTTATGTTCATTTTATTTATAAAAATTTTATCCTTTTTAAATATTATATTTTAAATGAGGTTTTTCTTCACGAAACATTATCTATAGTAAAAATTTTAAATAGGCAAAAATATACAATAGCACTACTTTATTAGGAAAAGTAATAAAAAGAGCTCCGTAAATATTTTATTAAAATTCTTTTAAAAATTTAATGTTAAATTAAGGCCCGGATTTTGATGACATTTGCAATTTTGGACATTTTTTGTCTTTTAGAGCATTTTTTTAGAATTATAGGGCATTTTTCCTTAAATTTTGGGGCGTATTTTGCATTTTAATGCATTTTTTAAAGTTTTTTGTTAATTTTTTCCAATTTTTATTATTTTTTATCAATTTTCATTATTACAATGGCTTCCAAACAATGAAGAAAATCTATAGAATATTAACAGGCGAAGCAAAATCTTTTCAAATTGAAGAAGAATTGTCAGCAAGTGAGACCGTCTTTTTCAAGTACGCACCTATAACATCAGTAGGCGTTGAAAGAAGCTTCAGTAGGAATGAAAATTTACTTTCAGACAAGAGACGCTTGTTTACATTTTAAATTATCAAAAAACATTTAATAATCCAATGTAATTCTGATATTTAGTAATATTATGAGATGGAAGTTGTTATATCCATTGAAGTTTCTATACAAAATAAAAATATTTTGGTGTCAATATATTTTCCTTTTTTTGTTATTTTAGGATATAAAATTTTTTTTTCAAACTTTAATGAACGTAGAACAAGTATTGCATTGCTTTATATTTTTTAAATGACTCATAATAATTTTAAAGAGCAAAAAAATTTTTTAATTCAATATTTTTACTTTATTTAAGGCATTTTTTGCGCAATTTTTGGATTTTTAATGGCATTTTTTGCACTTTTTAAGGGCATTAGTTGAGATTTTTTGGGTCATCAAAATCCAGGTTCTAGTTATTATGTTAATTTATTATAAATAAACAAAATTTAGCATCAATAACAAGTTTTAAACAATCAATCCTTTATTTTCAAGAATAATGGGATTTTTAAAAAAAAAAAAAATTTTAAAATTAAATTTAGCAATTATGTAATTTAAAGCATTATTAACAAAAAGTTTATATAAAAAAATCATAGTATGTTTATAAAAATTAAAACTATATTAATCTTGTTACACTACTTAAAAAAATAATAGCAGGATTTTAACTATCAACCTTCTTCACACAACAACAGTATTATTAGATTAAAATAAAAATTTACCATTTTCATAAAAAAAAATATTTTAATAAATTTTTCATGGGTTAAATTTGATACCATTTTCATAAAAAAAAATATTTTAATAAATTTTTCATGGGTTAAATTTGATAAAGATCTGCTAAGTCCTAACAAGTGCAACATGTAAAAATCTCTTCTTATAATTCAATTTGCTAGCAATATACCTGTAAAATATAAGAGATCAAATGTTACAAAAAAAAAAATTAATAATAATCTGAATAGATTAAATTGGGTTTGACTAGACTTTTTGACTAAAACTTGCTGCCTTAAATTTATATGAGAGATATTCAGCAAACAGGGCATTATAGTAATAATTTTAATTATTTTAAGTTGCTAATAACATAGATTAGTTAAAAAAATAATTGTTTTCAAACAAAAAATTTTAACATTTATAAATCATAATAAATAAAAAAAGTTAATTAAGAAAATGTAATAAAGTTATATTTTCCCTAGAAGTGAATTTATACATAATGAAGTAAATACACAAAAATTTTTTAACAATATGTTTCAAAATTGTTGCAATGAAATTGAAAAATAAAGCAGATGTTGAACAAAAACCAAATATAGTAGGATTGTACAGCAGTTTTCATTTCACAAAAAATTTTCTTATAAAATGATATTGATGCTTAGATATGTTTGTAGAAACAAGGTAATCAATTAAAAACTAGAAAAAAGACTAGATTAATATTCAAAAAAGACAAATGTAATTAATATTTTTCTTATCAGACACATAATAGTTAAAATAAAAAAAAACTAATCATCTGTTTCTAACAAAAGAACATGAGATAAGTTTAAAGGCACACATGGGATGTAAGTGATTCTGAGAGTGGCATTGATCATAATTTTCGATTGTATTTTAAGAGAAATTAATTTCTTAGGAAAACATAATGTAAGCTCTTGATCATTTATTGGTGTTAAAAATATGAAAGTGTTTGTGATCACACAGACACGAGCAACAGTTTCAACTTTATATCTGAAACTATTCTTGCAAAACACTGTATCTCGTAAAATAAATTTTTGTTTCTCCTTGTTTCGTAATGATTTTAGCGATAAAATAGATCTATAGCTAAGTTTCAGCTTTGTGTCTGTATGCAAATCATCAGTCATTACCCTTTTCAGAGAAGTATCATCCGATTTACAAACAGCTTTAAATTTAACTGCTTGAAAATTCAAATTTGGCACTTTTTCAGGAGAAGGTACAGTTATTTGAGGCAATGAGATAGAAAGGGATGCCAAATGTAAAGACTGTTTCTTTTCGGAAGATAAAGATGAGCAACTTAAGCTTTCTGAAGATGACTTGCAAGAATAAAATGAATCATCTGATGTACAGGATGATGATGATTTGATACATGATGTACCTGCACAAGATAAATATGATCCTAAACTGCTACAGCTGCTGTTAACATTTTTACAAAACGAAATGCTTTGATCAATATTTGGCATTAAACAATTTATAGAATTAGAGTGCTTCATAGGAACAGTTTCTTTAAGTTTCAAACTATCATTATCATGATCTTTCGAGAATGAGATTTTACAGGTCAATTGCTTAGAACAATATTTACGTTTTATCTGATGAAAAGTCTGTTTTCCATTATTTTTCTCTAACATACGTTTGTAATGCAGACATTTCTTGAAGCGTTTATGATTTAGCTTATGTTTATCCACAAATGAAAACATAAACAGAAACAAAGATGCTACTGTCGAAAATGATTTGCTGTTTCCAATAGTCAAGTTTTTTCTACTAACAGTCGTTACGAGAGTCTGAAGTTTCTCCTTTGTTTTGTCATTTAAGTTACAAATGTCTGCCAAAGACATTAAAAATAATGAAGAAATTCTTCTTACTTCATTTAACATATTTGTTACAAATTTAAAAGGTATTTCAAATGTTAATGCATGGCTCAGATCAAAATGACACAGAAGATTACAGCATTTTGCTTTAATTCGGGGTACAAAATAATCAAATACAAATCTTGATGGGCAGATTTCATAGTTCAAAATTAAAGAAACTTCATTTGAATTCAGCAAAAATACTAAAGATGCAACAGGACAAGAGTCTTCATCAATGTTCGGCACCAAAGCCAACACTGTGTCAAATCTCTTTATATCTTTGAGAACCACATTATCATCAAGTGAAACAAGTGCATTTTTTAGAAAATAGACTGAATAAGAATTATAATCAGTAGAGCCATATATGATGCCAAAATCTTTAGAAGCTGATTCAATTTCACCAAAAAGAAAAGCATAATGTAAAACCGAAAAATTAAGACTTTTTTTACAGTTTTCCCTTGAAACCTGATTAAGTGGCCTTTTTACTTTAACTTCAAAAGCATTTTGTTCTTTGTTGATGCCATCTGTTTCAGCGTAATTTACACATTTGGAAGTTTCATTTGAACAAGATAGGCCATTATATTTGATAGCTAAGCTCGAAATTTCTTTTCCAGATTTGCTGGAATCAGTTATCTTTAAAGAAAGATTACTCTTTGCTTCAGATGAATTTGAAGTGAAACAATGACTTTGATACGCCATAAGGTTTAGATTTACTTCATTGTTTGAAAAATTAAAGGATTTCTTTAAAAATTCGACAAATTCATCATAGTTATTTGGAATGCATTCAGTTGAGAAATTTTGTACTCCTTCAGACTTGCAATATTTACAAGAGCATTTCTGTTGTAGTTTAGTTTTAACTATTGCATTTAATTCAAATGAATTATATTCACATTCTTTATATTTATCAACATCAGCTTCATAAGTAGATATGTTTTGCTTAAAAGACTGTTTTATTACTTTTATTTTTGTTGCTTGATAATATCTACCGCCAACACCTTCACAATACTCTGCATCAAACATAACAGTATCACGAAATGATATTAAACTTGATAAATTTTTTATTTCACTAATTGACTTCAAAGTTCTTTTATGAAAATAAACAACAAACATATCATAGGAATAATCCTTAAAGTATACATTACAAAAAATCAATCCATAATTTTTCATCACATTACTAACCTCACCGACCCAGTTATGCAATTTCTTTCCATGTAAGAGACGTACCAAAAGGCAAGTAGTTATACCAGATAAAAAATAACTTGTTTCTAATCTTATGACACCAAGCTGTTGCTTTTGAGTCTTCATCTTTTTTCCATTAATATTTAGGTAAACATTACTATTTTTACAATAAAAAATTGGACTGGCAGCAAGAATGCAGAATGTTGTCAAACACGAGTGAATTCCGCATGATGGAACAAATTGACTATGAATCTTAACATCTTCAAAAGTCATTACAAATACATTTTGTAAAATGCTCATAAAGTATTGCTCAACGCCATTAAATGCATCAGAAAAATTATCAAGCCAGCTGTAAGGTAGTATGAATATTGAATCATTTCTATCTTCATAAAAAAATGAATACTGTCGCAAAATTGATAAAAGAGAGTCTTTATCAATTTTAATCAAATTATTAACATTAAGAATTTTACAGACTTCCGATATATTTTTAGTTCCCCTTAAAATGATATCTGTTGTATGACTTAATATAAGATCTTCATATATACGCTGCTTAAAATGACGAAAATCTTTTGAAAGATACATTATGCCATTAAATGAATAAAATACAGGAGTAGCAATGCACAGCATGTTTGTACATTTTTCGACTTCATCCTTACCATGGAATATATGAACAAACTTTGTAACTTCATACTTAAAAAATTTTAGGTGTCTCTGAATATCAACAATTGGTTTAGGGCCATTATTTTGAATATGGATTATAACAAAATATATATACTCTATGACAGCATTGAATATACAGAATGGCAAATAGAAAGCTTCTTCATATATTGACATTGTGGACAGGATCTTAGGCTTGATTTTTTTTTCTCAATCTATAACATCAAAATATAACAGAATTTTTAAAAACATACATTCTAACCTTATAGCAAAATTATAATAAAAAAATTAAATAAAAATTAAGAAAATAAATAAAAAAATTTTTAATCACTACTTTGAACATAAGATTATTTTTACACTAATGGTTATAGAAAAAAATATGAATTGCTATGCAGAACTAAAAAAAGTTATGAACCAGTTTTAATAGTTTTATAATTTGATGAGATGAACATATGCATAGCGTTGGGTTGAGGGGCATAAAGGGACATTTGCCAACAGTAATTTTCCCAAACTCTAGAATTTATTTAAAGTCTTTACCTTTTAAACCCCCTAAAAGCCATTTTTTTATTCATGAAAAAAATTAAAATGTTAGCAATATACTTATACACTTGCTAAAAAATGTTACGTTTTTAGGTGGTTTGATGGAATTGTTTTACATGAAACAAAGAAACAATTTTATGATTATTTTTTCCAAGTAGTATTTTAAAACATAATGACATTTAAAAAAAAGACTTGTTATCAATCAAACACAATTATTTTATAGAAACATGATTTAAGTCAAGTTTATAATTTAAGTTAGTAACTTTTTTTTAATTTTATTTCCAATGCCCATTTATGTTAACATTTTGTCAATTTAGGCATTTACAGGGCAGATTTGTTGGCCGCTCTTTCAGGGTCATCATACTAGGTGGTCCAACATTGCTCCCACAGTAAGGACAGATAGTACAGAGAATGAAAAAACATCCATGCCTTGCCCGAGATTCGAACTCAGAACATATCAGATGCAAGATGCTCCCTAACTGCTACACAGTCTGATCAGCTGGAGTTAGTAGTAAATGAGAGTAATTTATAAATAAAATTAAAAATAATTTAATTGCAATAATTTTTAATCAGCAGTTTAGAAACTCCCAGAGATTCCATTTTTTGTCAGTAAAATTTAAATTAGTTTATAATCGGAGTTGGTAGTAATTGAGTTAATAGTTTATAATTAAATTAAGAGAATTTAATTGCAATGATTTTAATCAACATAATACCATAGTTTCCAGAGAAACTTTAAGATTTACAGAAAAAAACTAAACAAGTAACTAAAAGAGTTTTTATTTCTCTATTGTTTAAAATATATATTTCGGAAGAATATTAAATACATTAATATTCTCATAATTTTTATCCAATTATTGCAATGAATTACATATAATCAAAACAAATTCTTTCTCTGTACTTCATTTAAAAAATTACTCTCAAATTCAATGATATTTTTAAAATCTCTTTTCTGTGTACCTCCTATATAGTTAGTGCCTTTTAAAAATTTCATTCCTGCTTTACCTATAGTGATAAAGCTGACAAATAGCTTATATAAAGAATTTTTATTTAAATTGAAATCGAACAAACACACAATTATTAAACTTTTTGCTTAATAATTCAGCGATAAGAGGCCTGAATACTGTTTAGTTGCAGAACATTTAATATGCCCCCAGAACACTGATATTCATAATTTAGAAAAACATGTATATTTGTTTCTGTAATTCATAACCAAATTTCTTTAGAAACATGAATCTTATCTATAAATTATTATTCACACAAAAATTAAAACAAAACTGATTCTATATATTATATATTATGAAACTGAATATAGATGAGCCACTATGGCTAAGGGGATAAAAGGCTTTCTTCCCTATGAGGTGAACCATGTTTAATTTCCTGCGATTGGCAAGTTGAGACAAATTTTTTTTCTAGCTTGCACCACCAACCACAGGCTTAAAATAACATCTTCAGGGGCAGACAGAATATGGGTTAGAATCTCCTTCCCACCTGAATAAGTATGGGAGGTTTTTCTTTTTATGTGAGACAAACGCAGGTTAGTTCCATCATAAAGGACTCCAAAGAAGGCTGGTTTGTTCTTATGATTGCAGAGTTGTCCCTAAGAAATTTTTAGGGTGGCCTACCCTGCCTGCCCCTTTAATCCCTATAAATGTGCCCTCTTTGCAAAAACAAGTAGCATCCCTTAGAGATACTGCCTTTTTATTTATATTCTATTTTTAAGAGAAATTAATAACTGTTAAAATAATAATTATGCACAAAAACTATCTGTGTCTATAGGTTTAATTTTGATTACTATTACAAATATTTACTTTGTTAGAATTATTCTCAATTGCTTAAACTTTTTCAAGGTTGAAAGTTTCTCTTTTTACAGTTTATTAACAAAATTTTTAAGTGATTTTAAAATTACTTGTTAAATACATATCTTTTTTTAAAAAATAAAAAAAAGCACTTTTAAATGTTTATTTTATAATAATTTTCAGAATAAATTATCAAAAAAATCTTTTCAGCAGTTTAACTTTTTTGAAAAAGAAAAAAAAAAGTGCACAGAGAGTGTCTCTTATTATGCTTTTAATTATTATTTGTAAGCAACTTTTTTTCTTATTTAGATAAGAAGTGAAACCACTTTTTTAAAAAATATGCATAAAATAGTATAAGACAGTTACTTAAAAATTGTTGAGGATCACATTCAGTTATTACATGATAATAAATGTTTACATATTAATCAACCAAGACATTTAAGATTTTCTTGGTGTACAGATTTTATAAAATCTCAATCTATTAAACTCACCAATAAATGTTTTCTTGTTATTTCCCAGCTTCTTCTTCAGATGTTTCAATTTAATTTTAAGGAATTCTTAATGTCAAAAATATAATTGAATTGACTAGTGTAGATGTAAATTGGCATCATGTTTCACCTGTAAAAAGCATAGGATTAAGCAAATAAGGAGAGATAAATAACAGGTCATTAAAAGATATACAGTAGATATTCAAACCAAAAATATCATTTTGAAATTTTAATGGAAAATTGGTAACATTAAAATCTCTGTCAAAAGTGTTAGAAAAAAATAATTAAAGTTACAGCTTATACAAATTTTTTTCCTACTAAGTTCTTACCTAAATATAATGATTAAACATAATTTAAAAGATTAAAATGTTTTCGGTAAGGCGATAAATTAATAACACATAAATGAGTTATATTTTATGTTTTCGTCAAATATTTCTTTAAGAACACCAATTAACTGCATTGAATTAGAAATTAAACTAAGTTTTCTAACCAATGAAATGCACTTAGAATTAAATAAAACACATAAAAGAGTTTTTAAAAATGCTTTACAATAATACAGCAAAAATTTATACACAAGAAATTTTTTGAAGTTGTGAGGACATTGAAAAATTCCATTATAAAAGAAAGCAACAAGTGTTAATGAGACAATTAAAGCGCATCATTGCTAATTAGAACATATTGATGCAAAATGTTAATAAACTGAAAATTTAGTAGCTTGCTAATAAAAGCTACAATTTGAAAATTGTCGACTGAAAGTGAATAATTACATGTAAATTAAGAATTATTTAAATCTCTCGAAACAAAAACATAGGACAATTTGGATGATTTTTTGCATTGTACTGTAAACTATTCTCTTAACAAAGCAGAACAATAATTGATACTTATTTTTCCGTTTGGATAGATAAATCATTAAGTTTGTTTTAAGCAATAAAATATCATTTTATTAATTTTTTTATAGATTATATTGAAGCATGAACCAAAGTGGATGTGACTTAACATTTAAAAAAGTGGATGTGACTTAACCATAACAACATTTTGGGTAATTTTTGGTTAATATCACTTACACTGGTCTGGGAAAAAGTACTGCTTTTCTTTAGCAATTACTCATTGGAATTTTAAAAATCTTGAGCTTGAACCTACAGATTAAATACATTGTTCTTTACAAAAACCAATTCCAAAGAACCTAATTTTCTTATTATATAGCAAAAAAAAAAAAATAAATAAATAAAACAATGTTGCACTTCAATTTTTTAAATAGTTTATTAATGGCTGAAAGGATATGATGATGGTTATTAATTCATTTCTATTTTAATGAAAATAAAACCGTTAGTGTCAGAAAGAAGCTTTAAAAACACTTTATCATTCAAGTTATGTTTACTTGTACATAGAATTTAAGATTTTTTAAATTGTATAAAAATATTTTTCCTAAATGAAGGATATTAAGCATAATGTTATTTGGCATCTATAATTTGAGGGTGAAATTATAAATAACCTAAAGAAAATGTATTAAACATAGCAGTTTATAGAATGTCAATTCAGGAGATATTTCAATTAACTAATACGATTATAGAAAAAGTTAAGACAAGAGGAAATGGTTAAAAAGCTAATATATTAATACAAATTTAAGCTTTTATATGCTAATTTATAATAGACTGGTATGAAGACAATTCATATTAACATGTATCAAATAGAATTATACAGAAAAAATAACATCATAAAAACATTTATCAGTTTATAATAAGATGAAACTAATTTATTTTAGTGTTAAAAATCACCTATAGCAAATAACAACCCTTATCTAAAATTGGGGAATCCCCGAGATCTATAAATTGATGCATTCGATCATATTTTTACTGATCTGAAATACTTAAACAAGTAAGCTATTATTTAATAAGCTCAATGTGAAATATGATAAATAAGACAATAATTAATAAAACCGTAAAATAACAAGAAAAAAAACATTCATTAATACGGTTAGTTCAATGGAATTTTCTTGATTTCATAGGAACAAAAGATTTACAGCTTATTTCGCTAATAATAGGTACCTGGAGAAGGACACACTGTAAACAATAACTAAGAATAACTGAATACTAAGCCATTGCATTTCGATTTTCAAATTATTATAGAAAACAACAACACAAATTCACCGAATTCAAATCGGCCACGGAATTCCGAAACTGAAACTTATAAAAAATAACTGTTGACTTATGAATTTTTAGAGAAGGCTGAGACAGCCGAGAAACTATTATAATTTTACGGTTAATTTTTACTGCAATGTCTTTTTAAATGGTTATTCTTTTTAAACGCAGCTCACGCATTTCTCCTTCATTCTCTCTTGACGGCGATCTAAAAAGGTGCGGCAACTGTATGCAGTGAGAATGTTCCTTTAGAAATTAAATTAACTGCTCGCACATGCGCAAATCGTAGATGTAGTTTCAAAATATTCGCACCTAGAGTAATTTCATGCAGTGTGAATTTGTATGAGGAAATTTTCGACTCCTTTTTAATATAATTTCAATAAGGTTTAATTATTTATTATTTAAACTCTTGCTTGTGTTAAGATTTTATTTAAGTTAATTGGTTTTATAAGTTTTCAATGTCAATGTAATTTCTGAATATCCTGTGCGAGGATGCAGCAGAACTCCAATAATCTGCAGATTATTTAATGCATCCTATAATTGTGAAGTAACTTATTCTGTTATATATGTTTGTTCGACTTGGTTCTTTGACAACAGAAAACTCCATTCTATAAGAGAATAAACCAGAAAGAAACGAAACTATTTCAGAAAATTTAATGACCTTATGTAAGAAACAACTTTTAAAAGAAAAACAAATCAATACTTTATTAAAATTTACACACACCGTTATTCTAAAAACTCAAAATCTATATCGTACACAAGAACTGCTGTTGCCAAAACATGGAATACTAAATACTGCTGTTGCCAAAACATGGAATACTAAATATGTAATAAGAATATAATTAATGTTCACGTTCACACTTTTACACTCGACCATCCTGACTTTTGGACGACCTCGTCCCTTCGAAACAACTTATAATCCTTCAAGTGAAGCGGCACACTTTTACACCTCTTTGGTCTACTGTTATCTTGGCTTAAATTTTTATTTGGATCGTCGTTGCATTGATTTGTACTATTGTTGTCGTTTATGGGTTCACAAGCAATGAAGTTTTTNAGGGGAAAGTGGATGCACAGATCAATGAATTGCTAGCGTTAGGACTGATTGAACCGGTGGTAAGTGAGATAGCACACCCGGTAGTATGTGTTCATAAGAAAGACGGAACAATCAGGTTATGCATTGATTTCAGAAGTTTGAATGCTCTTACCGTTCCGGATGCATATCCAATGCAAAATATGATGGAGTTGAATTTCTTAGTAGGAAAGAAGAAATTCATTACTGTGCTAGATATGTTGAAGGGATATTGGGCTATACCGATGGAGAACGGCAGCAAACACCTCACAGCATTCCGAACTCACCGAGGCCAGTACCAATGGAATGTATTACCCTTTGGATTAAGAAATGCTGCTGCAACCTACCAAAGAGCTATGTCTAAAGTGGTTCAGTCCATGTCTGATTTCACTTGTGCTTATATCGATGATTTAGCAGTATTTTCTGATACGTGGGAGGAACATTTGATTCATCTTGAAGAAGTTTTTAAGAGATTGGAATATTTTAATTTCTCCGTGAACTTGAGAAAGTGCGAATTTGCTAGACAAAAGGTTAAATACTTAGGACATATTATTGGTTCAGGTAAACATGCTCCTGACAAAGAACGAATAAGAGTAATACAGAAATTAGAGGCACCCAAAACCAAAAAACAACTGAGAAGTGCTTTGGGATTATGCAACTTTTACAGGCAGTATATTCCAAACTTCGCAAAGATTGCTCTTCCACTAACAGAGCTTACTAAAAAGAAAGTTCCTAATGAGATTCCTTGGAGCGAAGAAGCTGAGAAGGCATTCAAGGAATTGAAGACGTCGCTATGTAAGATCGCAGAGTTACAAGTCCCAGACATAGAGAAACCATACTACTTGCATACGGATGCATCTCAAAATGCGGTCGGATGTTGTTTAGGTCAGTTAGATGAAGAAGGAAATATTCGTCCCATAGCTTTCGGTAGCCAGAAGCTGAATTCAACTCAACAGAAATGGTCTACAATTGAAAGGGAAGCTTATGCTATTATTTGGGCTTTGCAGAGATTTGAAACCTTACTCTGTGGTGCTAAGATTATTTTATTAACTGATCATAATCCCCTAGTATTTCTGACGAGTGCGACACCCCAAAGCCCGAGGTTGCAGAGATGGGCGTTAGCCATTCAACGCCATGATATTGAGGCAAGTCACATCAAAGGATCGAAACTTAGTAATGCAGATGCATTGTCCAGACTGTAAATATAAACTAAAATAAGACTCTGAACATTTTTTCCTATTATTATTATTAGGTGATTAAAGTAAATACCTAGTGTTAAGTTAAACCTAAGATTCAGTGAATATTTGGGTGAATGTGAAACATAGTTTGTTTATGTGTAAAGTGTGACCCTTAAATTATTTGCCATATTCGATCTTTGGATCTAATATGACTCTGGGGGGAAGGTGTCAGGGTCACGTGATGTAATAACACGCATTTTCTGATGTTGCGAGCTAAAAGCTTGATATTATAGATATGATTTTTTTTTTTTGTTTTGGTTTTTTGAACGATGGATGGGAAAGAATAATAAAATGGTGAATTAGTTTTTGTAGAATTTTGCGTTATTTCTTTTGTAAAAGGTTACGACTGACAGATATGTACAGTCACGGAAAAAAGTATCCGGAAAGTAACAAATAATCTTTTTTTTTAAAAAAAAAACAGATAATTCTCAGGCACACAACAAATACGGCGTTGTTTGTGCCCTTTCCTAGAAATGACAAAACGCTGCATTTGTTGTGTGTCTGAGAAGTATCTATATCAAAAAATAGACGATCCTTTAGTTGTTATTTTCCGGACACTTTTTTTCCCGTGACTGTACATATAAGTACATTAGAGTGTCATGGTTATCAATTTAAAATAACAAGAGTACATTGCTCTTATTGCTCTTATACAAATAAAAATAAATAGATTTCTGAAAGAAAGAATGTTTGTATTTTGTACACTGCAAATATTTATTTTAACATATTATGAGATAATTTATGTAACCACACAGCGTAGAAGGAAGTGCTGACAGACACAGGTCGAGTTAGACAGACATAGGTCTGCCAGTAGAAAAGACGTGCCATTTTGTATTATGAATATATTATTACAGTTTGATTTAGACTATTAAAGTGACATTATGAATTAAATATTATGAATAATATTTATGAATTAATATTTATTATATTACACTGGCACTAATTTAAAATATATTTTCCAGAAATCAATTATAAAAAAAATAAATTATCCAGCAATTTTTTGTTTTGCGGACCATTTGGCGCCCCTTTGTGAGTAGCGCCCGGGGCATGATGCCCCCCCTTGCCCACCCCTCGCTACGCCACTGTATCAGGGGGACCAACGTTGATCCCACAGTAAGGGCAGATAGTATAGAGAATAAAAGAATATCCATGCCCTTCTCGGGATTCTAACCCAGAACCTTCCTGATGCAATGGCTGTTCAGTCACCCCTACACAGTCCGATCGGCAAGTATAATACTTGTAAATTTTTTAATAAATAAAATGTACTTGTTATCTGTGAAGTATAATGTTTGTAGAACCTTTTGTGGAAAAAAAATCATAAACATATCATTAAACAAAGCAACAAACCTGCTTGTACTACGTAACTTCATTGTTTTTATTACCTATAATTATCTTAAATAAATACTGTGTTCGATAAATTTCACGTTTAAGGTAAAACTCAAAATTCAATTAATAAGTTATCTAAAAATAAGAAATTCTTTGAATTATTTTACTGCTTACATAAAATTCGTAATTTTTACCATAACGTTTGTTAAAAATATCTTTTTTGATAAATTTAAAAATGGGGCTATATTTCTCCCTGCTCTTTACTAGCATAACCAAGCTCTTTACATAAACAAGCTTTTAAGAAAATTTCTATGAACTCTTTTGAAAAAATTCTTTATTATTAAACTACTGTTTCATGTTGTATTTATTATGAGTTTTATCACTGTTTCCATTATTTAAATTTTTACTATTAATTGTCTCTCTATATTACTAAATCCTAAGAGCCATGACCGCTTTGGATGTTTAATTTAATCTTGTAAATGGTTTTACTGCGCAAAAACGATGATTCTTAGAAGAAATGTACACTTAGTACAATTTAATAAAAAATATTTACTAGCAATTTGATAATTAGTTTGAGAGTTATTAATTGTTAAATTGTAGGAAAAAAAACATACTGGTCACTCTGCGGGCAGCAAGAATGCAACTAAGAATTGAAATTTGAAGTGCTGAAAGGGCTATGTTTGTTTATGAACTTCAAAATTTCAAATTGCTCAAAAATTATTGCAATTTTGAATGTTTTTTTGTGTATTTCTCTCACTTTCACTTTTTTTGCCTTACGTTACATTTTGTTTTGTTGCGCAAAAACTAGTAGACTTTGAAATTATGAACGTGAAATTTAGAAGGTGAGTAGAAAATTGAACAGAGTATGATGAAATAAAAGAAAATAAAATTTAAGAAATAAGAATTATCAACTGTTAAACTTGTAGCAAAAATTATAGAGGGTGAAAATATAGATAATAGCATAGATAGAAAAATAGGGATGTGTCTATTGCCTGATGAAATGTAACAACTAAGTTGCAATTTGATGTGCAGAAAGGGCTTTCTTCATTAATAAATTGAACGCAAGTTTCTTTCATATTTTTAGTTTGTTCAAAAGTTACTCCACTTTTAAGTGATTTTTATGGCGATTTTTGTACCCTTTGTTGCTTTATTTATGCATTTAATTCTATAAGCTTGCACTTAATGTTTGTTGTCAAAAATAACAAAACTAATAAAAAACAAAAATAAATGTTTAATATCAAAAATAACAAAAAAATCAACTAAACTAAAAAAAAAAAATTTTAAAAAATAAATAAGAGAGGGCAAGGTAAGATGTTGCCAGATTTAAATCGCATCATTTAATCGACATTTTTATAAATTAAAAGACAAAGAGAGTTGAAAGACATTTTCAACTGAAACTATTATGTGCCATATGATTAT